TATATTGTTTAATTGTTCTAACGATTACTTATCTTTCCTAATCTTGAAGCGACTTTACGGAACGCAATTTTATGGTATCACTACGCTTAAACAAAATACATTGACATCATCGGGTGAAAAGAGGAAGAATTATATAAGAAGGTATATATAAAAATAAATAATAGACAATAGCAACTATCTTTTCATCATGTATCGACGGTATTCATTAATGATATCGGGATCGAAGTGACTGACAAGAACCCTTTAAGAAACAAACATTCTTAAATTAACCATGCCAAAGGTGATAAATATGATCTTGCTCAATGTGGGAGGTTATTCAAGTGACTCAAAGTATTTGCCTTTAAGGTGACTGTGAACAAAACCAGAAAATATAACGGTTTAAGATTTCATAAGATAATTGAAACGCAATACTAATGAATAAGTTATTGTAGGCGTAAACATCTAATGCGATTCTGATAGTAAAAGGTTCTTCGCATTGAAAACCCCGATCCATTATCCCATCAGACAATATTTCGTTCTACATTAAGCCTAAAACATCCGTTTAATATATCAATTTTAGATTATTAAAGATCGGATGAGTTCTATTCCCGTCTTTTAGCTCAATCATATGTTGCAGTACGGTATGGTGGGATAACTATGTTAACTAGATCTGTACTAATTATACAACATGAGATTAAAAAGGTTCTTAACTATTTCTATCTTCTAGATAACCTTATAGATTCTTTAGACGCTTTCAATATCTTTATAGATTCAGTTGTAAATTTAAAGAGTTTTCTTAATAAATTGGCTGGTAAGGGTCAAAGGTAATTTTAATAAAATGTGATTTTTCGTTTCATGTTCCAATACAGAACTTTCGTTATTGCAATTACATCCGATGTCCTTAATTAATCAATGAACTAAAATGCTTTGGCAGCGGTCCTTCAATGAATTTATTTTTATAGATTGTATTCTACTAGAAATTTAACACATACCTTCTTTAAAGTCTTGGCTTTCAAGAATTCATATTAGCGACAGCTTTTCGTTGTGAAGTTTTGACTTTGAAGAATTCATATTAGTTTTCAGGGAAGGGAGGGTTTGATTCTCCCAAATGTACAGGCCTAGGGTGGAGCAGACACTTTATTTAGAAATTAGGATTAAGGGTCTTGATATTGGGTTTTCTTCTGTTCTTATTCTGATCTGAAATGAGAAAAAATAACTCGAGAAGTATAGTATCTGTTATGTGCTGATTGTTTTTAGTTTACTATGAACAATATTATTATTTAAGTTCTTATTTTTTGAATATGCAACAATAATTTTCTGCTTATAGACATGGGGGGATTTTTCTTGAAGGCTCTTATAGTGGGCATGAACTATCTTGCTTGCTCGATTGCTGGTTGTATTAAACGGGACAACAAAGGGTGCTATGCCTACATTATGATGAATATTTAGTCCTATATGTCTTGCTGTATTCAATGGCTCAATCCAATGGGCTTCCCTAGATTGACGGAATTTGGTAGTTTCATCTTCGGGCAAGTCAATTTAACACATGTCAATGATACCTTTTTTGAAGTCTTGGCTTTCAAGAATTCATGTTAGTGATAGGTTTTTGTTGTGAAGACCCGGCTTTCAAGAATTCATGTTAGTGATAGGTTTTCGCTGTGAAGACTTGGCTTTCAAGAATTCATATTAGTGACAGCTTATCGTTGTGAAGACCCGACTTTCAAGAATTCATGTTAGTGATAGGTTTTCGTTGTGAAGACTTGGCTTTCAAGAATTCATGTTAGTGATAGGTTTTCGTTGTGAAAACTTGGCATAAGATCCATATTTATGTTCTTGCTTGTTGATGACCTTCTAAGCATAGATAACAAAGGCAGATTTTTTACTAATTTATCATTTCGCTCCAGGCTAATTCCTGATTTAAATTGGAAGAAAATTGAATTATTATGAAATGGAAATCACTTGAAATATGTGCAAAAATAACTCATTATATCAACAACATTTGAAAAATTCAAATAGCTTTATCAATTAACACATTTACAGTGAATAGTGTTAGCGAAATAAAAAAAACAATAACTTATTGTTATACTTGAATGATTTAAACCATTCCTATTAATAATAAATGCATTTCTCTTCAATATTAGGTAATTATATTGGACAGCTAAATATGTAATTCAAAATATTTTCAAATTTTCCATAAATACAGCTTCTAGAAAAGTTTTTAAAAACCTCTACGGTAAACGATTCCATTGAAATATATAAAGTATTCATTGCCCAACATAATACTTCTAATAAAGGCTGGCCTAATTAGTTTCAAGTGTCCAATTTCTAGTCCCTGAAGTAGAAGTATTAAAATCCTACCAATTACAAGTTCTTTAACAGACATCAGGGAAATGTCCAGCTTAAGTAAGACATGAACCCTGGAAATTTGTAAAAGGCAATTGAATAACTCCAAAGCTACTATTAACTATTTCTTTGTGCAATTGTTTCAAAAAACAAAAATACTTCATCACGACAAAAACCGAAAAGTGGTGTACTAAACTGTTCTGATGCATTTCTCAAGGCCAGATGACTTCATCGGTATCTCGGCCAAAATAAGAATTAATCCGACATTATGCAGGAGTCTCCTATCAAAGAGAATTATGTTTTATATGAAACAAATTGTTATAATTGTGCATTTCATTCATTTTGTCATTAAAGAACATTCCTCATACAAACCATTCCAAAATTCTTGAACACGTTAAAGTATATGTATATATTTATATATTCTAGTGTTATAATGGGAACTATTGGTTTCGACTCGACACACGCGGTACAGAATGTTACAGCTATATGGATTTTAATCAATCAGTTATCACCAGCACAGAGACATCGTGTTTTGGCCGACGCTGGTTTAGATGAACAGACGTTAGCCTTACTTCTCGACAAGATGCACGTCAAAGATTATGAGAAGCCTATGATGCAATATGCAGAATTTCGGATAAGTAAATTATTATTGTTATATGTTCCTCCCATATTGATAATCTTAGGAACCTTTGGAAACTTATTTTCATTCATCATATTACGCCGACGG